CTTTTTTTCCCAGTAAAAGTAGGCACTCCCACCCCCCCATATTTTATAGGACGGGAAGTGTGGAAGTCAGACCCGTGGTTGTTATAATATTAATTTAATAGATGGGTTGTAATAGAAAAAATGCAAGTCCTTGGCAAGAGGCGTGAGTTAAAAGATAAAGAATCACAACACAAAGTGGGAGTTGTCACAGCATGCTCTTTGCTTGATGACACTGAGCTCTTGGGAGATTCTGAAGATAAAGCTGCAGAAGATTGGTGGATGAATATTGGTAGGGTGTGCAAAAGAAAGAAATTCAAGGTGAATACAGAAAGAGTAAGGTATGAGGAAAACAAACAAAGATTAGGGGATTGAAAGATTGAATATCAGATTGGAGGGATAGAGTATGGAGGAGGTGAAAACGTATTCAGATATTTGGGAGTGAAGTTGTCAGCTGGATGGGTCTATGAAAGAATGAGTTAATCATAGAATTGAATGAGGGAAAAAGAAGTGAGTGTGCACTTAGGAGTCTGTGAGACAAAGAACTTTGTCCTATGGAGGCAAAGAGGGGCTGTATGAAGTAATAGTTTTACCAACCTCTTATATGGGTGTGAAGCGGTGGTTTATGAATGTTGTCAGCGAGGAGAAGGCTGGAGGCAGTGAGAATGTCATGTCCTTGAGGCAATGTGTGTGTGGTTGAATATAAATGTAGAGATTTCGTAGTTTGAATTTAGAGAGGAGGTGCGGGATTACCAAAAACTGTTGTCCAGTAGGGCTTGTAGGAAGGGTTTGTTGAGGTGGTTTCGGTAACATTGTAAGAGGAGAATTGGAGCGAAACAAGAATGACTTCAACAGTGTATCATCGGATTGGAAGGAAGGCGGGGTAGGGGGTCGGCCTAGGAAGGGGTGAGGGAGGGTTTGGAAAAAGGTAGGTTTTTTTGTGTGCGAGGGGGGGCATTACTTCCAGCAGCATGCGTAGCGTGTTATGATAGGAGTGAATGGAGTACAAATGGTATTTAATACTTGACGAGCTGTTGGAGTGTTTAGCAAAGTAAACATTATGCAGGGTTTCCAGGGAAACCGCGAGGGCCGTCACTTGAGTCCCTGGAGGATGGGAAATACAGTGCCTGCACCTGAGAGGGGTGTTAAAGTTCAGCTTTTAAAAAAACCTATAGTGTAAAGCACCCTTCTTGCAAGACAGTGATGGAGTGAATGATGGTGAAAGTTTTTCTTTTCCGTGCCACCCTGCCTGTTTGGGAATTACCGGCCAGTGGTGATTAAAATAATAATAATAATAAAATATATTTTTTTTTTTTCAACAAAGTCGGCGTTCTCCCACTGAGGCAGGGGTGACCCAAAAAAAAAAAGAAAATCCCCCAAAAGAAAATACATTCATCATCATTCAACTCTTTCACCACACTCCCGCTACAATATCACTGTTATTGGCAGAGGTGCTGTGCTCAGAATACAACATCTAGAAGCATACACATAAAAAGAACACAACATGATCCCTAAAAACTGCCAATATCCCAAACCCCTCATCCCTTTAAAGTGCAGGCATTGTACTTCTCCCATTTTCCAGACTCAAAGTCCCTACTATATGAAAATAACCTCGGTTTTCCCTGAATCCCTTCACTAAATATTAACCTACCCTGCTCACACTCCAAAACAATCGTCAGTCCCAAGGTACCAAGTCGTCTCCATTCCCTCCTATTCTAACACGCTCAACTCACTGCTTGCTTGGAAGTCCAAGCCCCTTACCCACAAAACCTCCTTTAACCCCCTCTCCTCCAACCCATTCGAGAGGACGACCCTACCCCTGCCCTTCCTTCCCCTATAATTTATGATGCTTTCCTTGTCATTCTACTTTGATACCCATTTCTCACTTAAATGACCAAACCACCTAAAACAAACCCCTCTCTGCCTCTGACTAATACTTTATTAAACTGCCACACCTCTCCTAATTTCCACACTTCCGAATTATCAGCAAATTATTACACCACACATTGGCCCTTAAATATGACATCTCCACTGCCTCCAACCGTCTCCTCGCTGCTGCATTTACACCCACCACAAGCCTCAACACCCATATAAAGATGATTGTACTACAATACTTTCCTTACATTCCTTCTTTGCCTCCATAAGCGTTTAATTGAGCTATGTGTAGGAAAAAGTTTGATAATAAGTAATACATATTTTATGAAAACGAGGATAAATAAGTATACAAGGTATGATATAGCACATAACGAAAGTAGCTCTGTGGTGAAAGTGGTTGTGGTGTCGCCGTGGCACCGTGTTCTTTCATGTTTTTCACGGTCTCTCTTGCGTGCTATAACTTAAAAATGTGCCACTGAACTTAAAAGATATATCCGTAAAGCACTTGGAACCAATATTGCAGAAAATAATATCTACTGAGTCAAAAAAGGAGAATCAGTGTACAATAACAAAGCATAACTATGCTCTCAGAGTGGAATTTTAGGCCTAGCATGCCGGTGAAAATAATATAAGAACTTTTTTGTCAGAGGAAAGACAGTCTCCCTGATAATAGTGTGTATACATAGTGTTGTAGTGAGTATCACAGTGGTACCGTAGTATATATGGATAATAAATGATAAGGTGAAATTTAAAACTGAAGTGTTAGGCCCAAAGAGGCAGGTTCATGTTGTAAACAGTTGCCAGAACCCTCCCACACAGGTCTGCTAGTGTACCTGACCTATAATTAGTGATTCCAGGGAGTAAAGCATTCCTGTTGAAATATGAAGAGGTGCAAAATCTCGAGGAAATACGAAAAGTGTACAGTTTTGTAGAAATTTGATAAACAGTGTATAGTTGTTAGTACTTACTGTGATAGAGTGACGTATACAGTTTGTGGTAAACCTGTAGTTAGCAGCGGTTGCAATATACACAACGAAAATCACCATTCCACCAGTAATCTTCATATACTGAAGCCACTGGTACCCAAACATGCAAGTTATACTTTCTGTATCAAACTGAACACATATTACTCTGTTTAATTTCTTTCCAGAAGTCCTTTTCATGAACTAGTCCAAAAATCACCCAGTGAGCCTAATCCGGATCTGCCCGGATTCATCCAACGACCGGATTCAAACAGATTTGTTGATAACAAGGTATCCTCTGACTGGTTTCACTAACTGACGGGGCTCTACACGCCCTTATCAAACATTCAAACAGTAACTACAATAAATAGTTACAATACAGATAGACAAATCTACTGTTAAGGTGATCATTAGAAAAAAGATATACAGTGATCCACTAACTGGATTCATCCAGATTTGCTGGCTTCAGGTGGATTCAAATGGTTTCGTTGGAAATAAAGCCAAATTGGAAGAGCTGTTACAAAAAATTAAATACTTCAGGGAATTACAGACTAGCTAGCTAGGAGAGATGTAAGTATTGTAAGATGACCACCACCATGAAGATCTGTGTAGTCTGCAGAAAGGGTAAGGGATAAAAACAGGCCTGGATTGCTCATCATCTCTGTGGTCAATGGTCCCATGGTATATGCAGGGATTTTAAACCAGTGACCACACTTGACAAACTCAGAGAGATGTTTTTGGGTCTGCCCAAACAAGATACACCTGTATGAGGAAATGACATCTATATTAAAAGACAACAACACCAATAAAACATCTTTCTTGAGAAACATGTCAGCATGCTACAACAGCTGGGAAAATAAGATGGGTGGTAGGGACGGGGCTGTCTTGGACAGTGCTCCTGAGGGTGCTAGTGCTGTTCTGGAGGACAATGCTGAAGGTGCTAGTGTTGTCCTGGAGGAAAGTGCTCCAGAGGGTTCTAGTGACGTCTTAGAAGACAGTGCTCATGAGGGTACTAGTGTTGTCCTGGAGACACTGAAGACAATGTTATTCAGTCCACAGAGGTTCAAAATAGAGATACTGCTGAAGATGGATCAAAATGGGATGATTCCTCGGGGAATAGTGTCGACACACTACCAGTAAAACCTGGTGGAAGCACTGATGTCCATACAGGGGTGAAAGATAGGGAGGAAACAGGAAAAATAAATGCACCAGTAGCGAACGCAGCTACAATAAATCCTAGCAAACAGAATTACAATCTATGTAAATACTATGCCTTGGGTATCTGCAGGCACTGTATATCTGGTAAAACAGGTGGGACATGCACCTTTGACAATCCCAAAAAATGCCGCACCTACATGACTACAGGAGAGTGCAACTTCCCTTCTTGTAACGTTTTTCACCCAGAAATGTGTCACTCATCAATCCATGAAAGAAAATGCTACAATGTATACTGCCAGGCACATCATCTAAAGGGGGCCAGAAGACACAGACCAGCCAGACTATGGGAAACAAAAGAGAGGAGCCACACTTCTCCAGAGACAGAGGTTTTTAAGGGCGAGGAGGGAAAAAAGATTGGCAAGAAATGACAATAATCCTACACCACCTAAAAACACTTCTGGAGCAGAGGCATGAACATTGGCCTCTACTCCAGAACAACAGATATTAGAGCCAGCAAATAAAACCCCCCTAAATTCCACCAATGCAATGACATTTGTCTTTGCAAACAAACAGCGTTTAAAGTCGTCAAAAAACAGCAAAATTCCTTACATCAAATGCAGAGTCAAATGCAATGTCTGCAGCATTCACAGAGACCCACATAAATGATCATTAAGACAACGAAATATGGATCCCAGGTTATAACCTATTCCGATGTGACAGACTAAACAGGCAACAAGAGGGGGTTGGCTTGTATGTCATAGAGTTGCTCATTTGCACAAAACTACTAAACAGTAAAATTCCTTAGTGTAATTTCATCAATTTTCCATCAAATTTCGTACTTTTTGTTTTATTACCTTCAGAAAAATATTCTCTACCATTTTATAAAACTACGGCTTGTACCCTCTAAGGGTTAAAGCTAGTTCTCCAAATATGTTTTCACACAAGTTTTTAATTCAATATAGGAGAATTACAGTATTATTTCAGACAGGGTAAGCTATACTTGCTAAGAGAGATACATGACATGTTTACCTGTCTAATGTGTGTTCCAGGGCTCTCTTCCTGTTGAGACTATATACTGATGGAAACTGAAAATAATGTCATAAATCATTAGTAAATATTGATGCATGCAATTTAAATAAATTGCAAACAAGCTACTTCAGAATTATGTGAATCAAATTCCAAATAAAGAAATAAAAATTCTCAATTTTTTGTAGATCCATCCACTGAATAAAAAGTACCATGTAATGTCACTTACCTCTTCCATAGCAATAAAATTAGATGCATCGTGGAAAAGGTGGATATTTACCAAATCAAATTTTGTCCCATTTAAACACCATCGTGTCCTCATGAAACCTTTGCGAGACCACTTACACTGCAGAATAGAATAATAAATGATGTTTGAATAAAATTTCTAAATAATGGGATGTTGTTTACTTAAAATACATAATATTAAATAAGAGGGAAGTGATCTGTAATTCTTTCAGTGAGAATCTATAAGAATGAAAAAGTTCAGATTCATTAATGTTTTAACATGTGCTCAACCATTTTCCAAAAATTTATTCTATCAACCCACATGGATAAGAATTGCACACTATGTCAGCATACTACTTGATAATACACCCACAAAATTATCAGTTAAAATTTTTTATAAGGTACATTAGGTCTAAACAGCTGTTAGATTATCACTCATGAACAGAATCTGTGAAAATTGAGAAAAGGTATTTAACAGTACCATGAGACACATAAAATATATGCAAAAACAAGCTTTATTTAACCTGTGCTGGTAGTAATGCAAATTCTAGCAATGAGAAGACTGAGCAAGGTAAACGTTGTTGGATTTCTCAGCACTGTCTTCTGCACTTACTTTCTTACGACCCATGCTTACAAAAAAGAAATTTGGCAAAATCACTGCACAAAATGTAAGTACAACACAACAGAGATGCTTCCATGGCAAGGTAACCATGTGTACTGTGGCACTCGCTGCGCCAACTAATGGCAGCGTATCTGGAGCTTGCTCGTAACTCTGATTTTGGCTCGCAATTCAAAGCAAAAAATCGACCAAGTGACAGCTCGTAACTCGGAAAATTTGTAAGTTGGGGCACTTGTAAGTCAAGGTACCACTGTAGTCACAAACACACTGACAGGTGAATATGTTTACTTGCCTTGGTCACACCCTACTGTCTAGAAATATGTACAAATTATTTATATGTCCCAGCAATGTTTTTAGAAGTATACAAAACTCCCTGAAGTATGGTATCAGACAAGAGTGTCAATCTACACTGCTGATGGTGAGGTCACTAATAATGCTGATCTTGCACTGGTGAACCTTGGCATGTTTCTTTACTCTCACTGTTCCACACACACACACATAAACATGTCCATCTCTGTCTCTCTCTCTCTTTGCCTGTTTTTGGCTTCTCTCTCTCTCTCAGAGAGCCGCTCATGAACCAATAAGTATTATGTATGTTGCAGAATTGTCACATTTGACCAGTTCAAGTGGATATGCAAATTACTTGCCACAGTCATGCATATGCTTCATTTACAAACATAGTATAGCACTTTGCTTGGTTTTTTGGATTATCCCAGATAATTTACACTGTGTAAGATGACAGTACTTATGTGTACCTGTGCCCAAATAAACTTAGTTCTTAATTCTGGTTCTTGAGCGGCTCTGAGACAGAGACAGAGATAGACGGAGCTAGCCAGCCAGCCAGAGCCATCTAGCTAGCCAAAGTCATCCAGCCAGCCAGCTGAACATGTATTACACATTGCAAAATTCTCTCTCTACTTAGGGCATAGGTAACAGGACGTTCTGGCAGGATGACATTACCATTTGCATCAAAACTGAAAGGATGTGGTACAAATGTTCCACATCAGTTATTATCTATGTTTTTGATATTTCCTTGACCATTTGTGACCATATCCACCTCAAAGCACCTAAACTCAGGGTCAGCATCACTTTCCTCCTAAAAGAGTGTGTTAACCCTTTGACTGTCGCAAGCCCATTTCTGAAACTGTCATTCTATGTCGAAAAATATTTGAAATGTTTTTTTTTTTCTTACCAAAATGTTAAGATTATTTTGCTGAGTGTTTTAAGCCCCCCCCCCCCTCCAAAAAAAAAATTGTGATCAGTACTTACCAAGATATAAAGACAAAAAGTTGGCAGAAAATGAGCCGCGTATGGCAACAGCGGTGAATGCTGCTCACCCGGTAAACTTTTTTTTTCTCCCATTCAAGGGTTATTTGTGTTTTCCACTACGTTATTTTTTCAGCTAACTTATGTGGCCTGTGAGACCAAAGTAAGGTGGAATGTACAACACAATAACTGCACAAACATTATTATCATTATATTCTTTACAAAAGCTGTTCACACAAACCAACAATACAAATAAATTTGTATTACTATTGTTCTATAATATATATACAAATGTACAGTCACTGGACATGTTTCTAGCAGTGCTGCAGCTTGTGGAATTCTTTGAAACATGGTGTCATACACAATGGTGTTTTACACTCCTCACACATAAAACATGGTGTCATACACAGTGGTGTTTTACACTCTCACACATAAAACATGGTGTCATACACAGTGGTGTTTTACACTCCTCACACATAAAACATGGTGCCATACACAATGGTGTTTTACACTCCTCACACATAAAACATGGTGTCATACACAGTGGTGTTTTACACTCCTCACACATAAAACATGGTGTCATACACAGTGGTGTTTTACACTCCTCACACATAAAACATGGTCTCATACACAGTGGTGTTTTACACTCCTCACACATAAAACATGGTGTCATACACAATGGTGTTTTACACTCCTCACACATAAAATGAGTGTGTCTGCATTTTTGTGGGAGTTTTTCATATGTGCACAGACAAAACACCTCATCCTAGTAGTTTTCTTCAAAGTAGTAGCAGGCAGTTGTGTTAGGTAGTTATCCTAGGTAAATGGTTGTGTGTCATCATTCCTACCTACCTTTCCTTCTTTCTTTCTTCATTCTTTCTTTATTCATTCTTTCCTTCCTTCTTTCTGGTTTCTATATTTTTATTTTTATTTATTATCACACTGGCCGATTCCCACCAAGGCAGGGTGGCCCGAAAAAGAAAAACTTTCACCATCATTCACTCCATCACTGTCTTGCCAGAAGGGTGCTTTACACTACAGTTTTTAAACTGCAACATTAACACCCCTCCTTCAGAGTGCAGGCACTGTACTTCCCATCTCCAGGACTCAAGTCCGGCCTGCCGGTTTCCCTGAATCCCTTCATAAATGTTACTTTGCTCACACTCCAACAGTACGTCAAGTATTAAAAACCATTTGTCTCCATTCACTCCTATCAAACACGCTCACGCATGCCTGCTGGAAGTCCAAGCCCCTCACACACAAAACTTCCTTTACCCCCTCCCTCCAACCTTTCCTAGGCCGACCCCTACCCCGCCTTCCTTCCACTACAGACTGATACACTCTTGAAGTCATTCTGTTTCGCTCCATTCTCTCTACATGTCCGAACCACCTCAACAACCCTTCCTCAGCCCTCTGGACAACAGTTTTGGTAATCCCGCACCTCCTCCTAACTTCCAAACTACGAATTCTCTGCATTTCTATAATATATATACACATATACAGTCACTGGACACTTTCACAGAACTGCTATTATCTTCCGGAAGCTTGTGTTGTGTGCGTGTGTGGATTTGCTAATATGGTGAGTCAGGATGCGGCAGCTGTCAAAATGACATATTATACCATACATCACTCCCCTTACTGCCTGTCAACACCTATGGTGTCCCATGCCTTGTTCTCCACTGTCTCCTTCAACAGTTTCTTTCTCCTTTCTTATTCTTTCTCCTTCTTTCTCCTTTCTTCTCCTTCTTTCTCCTTTCTCCTTTCTCCTTCTTTCTCCTTCCTTCTCCTTTCTTCTCCTTTTTCCTTCTTTCTCTTTCTTTCTCTTTCTTTTTTTCTTTCTCCTTTTTTCTCTCTCTTTCTTCTGGTGTCATGGGCACTGCTTTCGGTCACAAACACCTCAAAATCATGAAATTCATCTTCACTGACACTTCCATCTGTGTTAGATCTATCACTTGGGAAGAGAAGAGGCCCAGATTCACCGGGGCATCAGATATTTCTTACCGCTAGGCATGCTGAATAAGGACTACTGATTTGGAGTTCCCACAATGCACCACTGGCTCCCCGATTTTTTTTATACTGCACACACTGACCATGGAGACCCATTCTCTCACATGTGGGACTACCAGCTTTCTCCTGCTTGATTTGAAGCCGCTAAAATTTACGCGTATTAATACGGCGGAAACACTGACTCGCAAGACGTATATATACGGCTGAAACAGTCAAAGGGTTAATACGACATGACATTAGTAAATCCCTGGGGTTAGCCATGCTGTTTGCTCCAGCTGGTGCTCAATTGAACTGGTACTCCCACAAGGTACTAAGTAGTCCCAGATTTTTTTAATACTGCACTGAGTGTTAAGACCCATTCTATACTGCCTAGGCCTATCAGGCCTCTGGCGCAAGATCTGAAGGCATGAAAATAAAACGTTGATCTACACTTGGAGCATTAAGACCTTAGATCAATGTTCGGACAGTAAAAGGGTTAATGAGATTGCAAAAAACCTTAAATATTTCTAGATAAAAAATCAAAATAAAAACCACATCAGGAATCAGCCCACTACTCACAGGAGGTTCATACACTCATAACAAAAAAGAAATAAAGAGAAATTTTGAAAGACTATTACGAATCAACATTCAGCAATCCACTAGACAACAGGAGAGTTGAAGCTCCAGATAGTTATTCAATATGTCTGCCCTACAAATCATACATCAAACATAAGCACAAGTCCCTTAGAATTCAAAAAGGAAATAGAAATTATGTCAATATATGCAGTTCTAGGACCTGATTAATAGAACATCAATTTATAAAATGCAAAATACCACTACCATGAACACTTGGTACAGTGGAACCTCAAATATCGAACTTTCTTCAGTCCAGAAGGCTGTCCAAGTGCCGCTACCGAATGAATTTATTCCTATCAGGAATAATGTAAATTAGATTAGTCCATTTCAGACCCTCAAAAATACACTTATAAAAGCACTTACAAAAATACACTTACATAATTGGTTGAGTTGGGAGAAGTTCGATTTTTGAGGTTCCACTGTATTTCTTTGGAGAAAGAGAGCTTTGCACTTGGAATATATAATATACTGTATACTGGTGAAATAATTGTTTTTTATTCTATTTTTTGCCACTTTGGTCTTTAACCTTTTCACCGTTGGTGCCATATAGATACGTCTTATGAGCCAGTGTTGGTGACGTATTAATACACCAAAATTCTAGCGGCATCAAATCT